AGTGTCCAGCCAGGTCCTTGTCCTGCCTAGAACATGCCGAGCAGTTTCCCATGTCCTTGCTCAGTCTGTTTGTTCTTTCATCTGCACACAAAACCCTCCTCCATGCCACTGCCCTTCTCCACAGAACAGAGCGTCCTATGCCTCCTCCAAGGAGCAGGATATGTGTTACTTCCACCAGAAACCTTCCCAGCCCGGCTTGGGCAGGGTGCTCGTCTCCTTTGTCTATGACTCCTGGAACATACCACCTCAAACTCTAGCTAATTCTGAGCTCGGCTTGACCCCAGCCTTGCCTCCAGCCCCCATGTCTGGAGCTCTTAGAGGGTATCTTAATAGTAGTTCTTCACTCAATACCAAGTAGATGAATGAACAATGGGGCTGCTCCATTCTCCTCCTCTAGGGAGCCTTCTCAGATCAAATGGCTCAGGCATTCCAATCCGACCCAAGCCTTACATGCTCCTTCAGAGCAGCACACATCGCTGCTATGTCACGCCTAGGACAACCTGAGTCCAGTCTCAGCTCTGTCCCATGGCTTCCTTTAACCTCTCAGACTCGGCTTCTTCATCTGTGATTAGGAATTAATAACACCTGCTTTGTTACTGCCCAGCTGTGTGGTGAGCAGTAAATGAGATGCCATCTGTGAGAATTTCTTCATAAACACTGAACTGCTGGGCACCTGTGAGGGGCCTTTATTATTATATAAATGTGTGTCTACCTGCAGCTAGCTGGTTTCCTAGGTATGTTTGCAGCCCCTGCCTTCCTCCCCTGAGAGATGGGAAGGGTATAAAAGCTAAGAACCCCGGTTTTATCGAGCTCTGAGTTTAAAGGGCTGGTGTCTGAGGGATTCCCTGAGGGCCTGGTAAGACCAGAGCTCAGAGTTTTGCTCATTTTTAGGACCCTTCTCAGGGTCAGGCTTTGTCCCTGATTCCTGAGTGGGTTTGGACAACCTTATTCCTTCTGTGGGTCTCAGTTTCCTTATCTGGAGCAGCTAAGTTGAAGCTCAGATTTTCATTTTTATTTTTTTAAGCCACAGAGCTAATAGAATCTTATGTTCAAAGAAAGTCTTATGCCAGACATTTATGTATGAAATAAATATATGAAATCAGGTGGTCTCTGAGGCCCAAGACTTGACCCTCTTCCCAGACTCAGAGGCCCTGATGTTTATCTGCAGAGCCCTGAGGGCCTTCAATACATAAAGATCCCCCGGTTAGAGGCTGTCTTCCCAGCTCTGGCATTAGATTTTTATCATCCCTACTGAAGTTCATTTAGAAGGAGCACATATTGTGAAGGTAGAAAAGACTGAGGCTACACACCAGAGGCATGTCCTGGTCCTCATAGGAGAGGCTATGTATCGGGATCATTTTTGCCTTATGAGTTCCTACCTGACTGTGAACACTTTCTGGAGACTGCAGCGGAAACTATGGCTTCCTTATGCCTATATCCTCAGTCCTCAGCCCACTGTCTAATACGGAAAAGGTGCTTAATAAATGTGGGCTAAAATAAATAAATGAAGAATGAATGAATGAATGAATGATGATGAGGCTAAGAAAGACTTGAAAGCAACAACCTTGCTTTAGGTTTTAAGAACAGTTCCATGCAGTGTGGAAGAACTCGGACTAAATGGCTCTGACCTCTCCCATGCCTCCTGCTCTCCTCACAAACATACAGGGGAACTTGCAGCCCGTGCTCTTTCTGCAGGCCCCTTATTTCCCCATAGGAAGCCTGACCTGAGGGAAGGGAGTCAGACAGACCTTGATGGTAGTGGAAAAGAGAGGAAGGGAACTTCCAGGAAGTCACTGCAGGGGCAGACAGGGCATGGTAATGAGCCCCTTGTGGGAAGGGCCAGGGGCTACCCAGTCATCCAGAAATCTTTTTGTTCCGAGTGCCTGTCCTTACCCAACAATTCTGCTCTGTGTACATCCACTGCCCAGAGTAATGCTGAAAAAATGAGACAGGGACCAAAATATCCTCCTGCCTGCTGGAAAGGGACAGAGGAAAATTCCAAAACCTCATCCATCCCTAACCCACCACAGGGGCTGAGCCAAGCAAGCCTTGACACCTCCCTCTAGCCCTTGCCTTCCTTGGCTCCCAAGGGTGTACAGGGATGATAACTTCAGCCTTCTCGGGCAGCTCTTCCTCATCTGGGATTCTAGTCCAGTTCGGAGAGCTCCAGAAGGAGAAGATGCAGGGCTGCTCTGCAGGGTTGCCCCCAAGATAAGCTTCCACTTCAGGCCTCCCCTTCCCTATTCACCCCTGCCCACAGTGCAGAGGCTGCAGGGTCAGGGCCTTTGAAGGGACAGAAGTAGGACCAAGAGGTAAAGAGGGAGTGGGAGTGAGGAGCAGGCCCTGGAGATCTTTTATATTTACTATGGCTTTATCCTGATCCCAGAGTCACATGCAAAATAGAAGCTTTGCAGTGGACACTGTTGAGGGCATCTCAACCTGGTACCAGTGGATACTTTTAGTGTCCCTGGCTATACAGAGCAGATTTCCTAATTTTGCCTGTTCTGCCTATACCCTCCCACATTGTCCTCTCTCCACCACAGACCTCTGATTTCCCCTCTCTCTCTTCTTCCCTCCACCACAAACTTCCTTTCTCTCAGCCCTGATATCTGCCTCACGGGACGGGGGGGGGGGGGGGGGGGGGTGCTGGGACTTAGAAGATTTCTAGGTGGAAAGACAGCTCTGTGGTCTCCATTCCAATCTGTCTCTCTCCCTTGGGGTCGATTTACTGGCTGCTGGAGTGGGAAAGACAATAGACATCACTTGACAGCTGAGTAAACTGAGGCTAGGAGAGGAAAAGTCACCTGCCTGAGACCACAAAGCCTGTGAGAGGCAGAGTAAGGCCAAGAAGTCAGCTTTCAGCTCTCTGACACTCAGTAAAGTGCTCTTTTCACCATACCAAATGGTCTTGCTGCCCAGGCGAGCTCAGCATTGACCCGTCCCCAACTCTTGCCCCCCTGGTTACAGGACTCCAAAGAGCAGCTCTCTGAGATAGACCCTGCCACAGCCAGATTAGACAGGTGTATTTTGTTCTCAAATACACCTGTCTAATCCCTCAGGAGGCCTGGTCTAAGAACAGGAAAGGGTGGAAGGAGGGAGGAGAGGAGGGAAGGTTTTGGCTCATTTTGTCCAGAACTGAGGAACAAATTACCTACAGATATTATGCAAAGGCACATAGTAATTATTCAATCCGTAGTAAGAAGAATGGGGGAGGGGGCTCAGGCAGCCTCCAGAGCCGAAGATGCTGCTAAGGGTTAGGGAGGGTGACCCACCCCCTGCCCCAACCTGATCATGCCTGGGTCTTTGCAGGTTTCCCTGACAACTAGGTGAGCGGCAATTGGAAAGCTGAGAAGAAGCCTTGAACCAAAATGGTTAAGTCAGGGGAATTGCTGAGGGGCAGGGGATGATGCAAAGATCTATATCTGAGTGGCACAGGGAGCAGGCAGGCTTGTTAAGTCAGTGGGAGAAGTGGAGTGAAAGGGGAGGAAGGGGTGTTTACACTTCCTAATCTCTGGTACTAGCCTCTAGGGAAGAATTGAAATTTTGTTGTCTGCTGCACGGATTCCTTGTTCTCCCTGAAGGTAGAAATTGAAGTTTTCTTTTCCCACTTTGGGTTTCCTGCTCCCCTGTGGAGGACTCAACCGTCCTTATCCTCTCCACCCAGCTACCCCATCTCCCACTGTGATTCAGTGCAGACCCCCAGCAGAAGTGTCCTCCTTGGCATGTTGAGCTCCAACAAAGGGGCAGTGCCCCTAGAGGCCGAATTCTGGCTAGGTGGCATTGGGGTCCCCCACTCTGACTCTCTCTTGCTCTCCCAGGGCCCTTTCCCAATTGATACCTATAGACAAGAATTTTTCAGTTTGGGATCTCTGCAAGGCCCCATTCTTTCCAGGGTCTGCCCTGCCGGTCATCAGTCCATACTAGTGGGCTACCTAAACCAAAATTGCCAGGAGGCACCAAGAGAGGGCTGTGGGCACTCAGGAGAGAGTCAGGAGCCTGGGTTTCTTACTCTGGTCCTGTTAGAATCTGCCTTGTGACCTCTTAGAAGTCCTATCCTTCCTCCAGTCTGCTTTCTTTCTTTCTTTCTTTCTTTTTTTTTTTTTTTGAGACAGCGCCTCAAGCTATCCCCCTGGGTAGAGTGCTGTGGCTTCACAGCTCACAGCAACCTCTGACTCCTGGGCTCAAGGCTCAAGCGAGTCTCCTGCCTCAGCCTCCCAAGTAGCTGGGACCACAGGCGCCCACCACAACACTCGGCTATTTTTTGGTTGCAGCCGTCATTGTTGTTTAGCGGCCCGGGCTGGATTCGAACCTGCCACCTTAGGTGTATGTGGCTGGCGCCTTAGCCACTTGAGCCACAGGCGCCGCGCCCAGTCTGCTTTCTTATCTGTAACGCGTGGGGCTTGGACCAGACATCTTACAGCATAGGACCGTGCTCGGAAGAGGACAGGGAGGAAGAAAGGGAGCACAGAGTCAGAAGTGATCTTGGGAAGCTGGATCACTTCCCCCAGCCTCAGCATCCTCATCTGCAAAATGGAAATTACTAATAGACTAAAAGGCAGTTCTGAAAGATGGATGAGAAAGAATGTAATGACTCAGGACAGACTCTGCAAAGTAATGCGCCGCCGAGACTATGCTGGGACTGGTTTCACGGAGCCAGCAGGGCTTCAGGGTTGGGGAAGGAGGCAGGGCTACCATCTCCCCGCCGTGGGAGGTCTGAGAGTGGGCATTCTGGAGCACTGCAGGGGAGACGCTGCGCTGTCACGGTGAGGGGTCGCTGGAGACCAGACCAGACTCCGGGGCATCCCGCATTTTGAATGGGAGGTGGCACCTCTGTCCGGGCCCGAGGCTGGGTGCACACACCAGATCCTTCTAAAAAGCTCACATTTTTCCAGCTTTCCTCACCCGGTATCACTTCCTTTGTTTAGAGGAGGGGGTGGGGAGATGGAGGATGAGGAGGGAGGGGCCCGCGGGTGCCGCCGCCGCCCCCGCCCCCTCCCGGTGTGCGGAGCCGGATTGTCACTCAGCTCCCGCGCCGGGGGCGACGGAGGCGCCGGCGCCCCATCCTAGTCCCAATCACCTACCACCCCACTGGACCTAATAGGCTGACCTGGGGTTCTCCAGGCATCCCCCGAGAGAAAAGCTGCTGAAGGCGTCGAGGTGTGAGGGCACTGGGACAGAACAGCTCAGGTGGCTGGGAGCTCTGCCAGCTTTGGCGACCTTGGGTAAGTCTGAGCCTCGGTTCGCCCTTGGGGATCCCCAGTGTGGGTGCAGGAGATTGCTGAAAGAAGCCACTGGAATGCCCCCTTGCAGGCGACCACTAAGGGTTCCGACAGAGGTGGAGCGAGACCGCTAAAGGGCCAGGCGTAAGCAGCATCTCCAATGGGTGGGCGCAGGGCAGGTGTGCGCGCACTCTGAGGATTCCGGAGCCTGCGCCCTGGCCTGTTCCTGGACTCAGTCCCCCAGTCCCACGTCTGCCACACCAGTCCCAGGTGAGGAACAGGGGCGCTACCTCTTTAAAAGCGGCCGGGGCTGAGCCTCTGTCGCACCATGTGATTGCTTGAAAGGCCGGGCTGGTTGCCCTGCGGCGGGAGCCTGGAGGACTATGAGCTGCTGCTCAGTGTTCAGAGCCCAGCCCAGCCCGGCCGGCGCGGCCCCGGGGCTCTGGGCGGCACCAGGTCCTGGGAAGTTTGGGCACTGGCTCTAGAACCCCTGCCAGCCAGTGGGCAGGATGGTGAGCTCCCTGTGTCCTGTTCTGTGGGCGGGGGTGGGCAGAGGCCAGCATGGGAGACCCCTGTGTTGTGTGCGTGTGTGCTGGGAGCTGCCTCACACCTGATAAAAAAGCCAGTGGAGGAGTGAGTGCTGCTATTTTAAGTTGCTGAATGGAACCTCTGGGGATTTGAAGGGGAGGGGACAAAGATTAGGCAGGGCAAGGGCCAGGGACCCCTGCCAGCCTGCGCAGGCGCTGGATATGCCAAGTGGGGCACATCTCCATAGGGCAGCGGGAGTTCCAGCCTCCCAGGCAGGCCTCCCCACCCCAGGCTTTCGTGACCACAGGTCCCTGCCTTGCGCCCCTTGGTGCCTGCCTGCTGATGTGCCCAGCCTGTGTCCACCATGCCGCCCTCCATCTCGGCCTTTCAGGCCGCCTACATCAGCATCGAGGTGCTCATTGCCCTGGTCTCTGTGCCTGGGAACGTGCTGGTGATCTGGGCGGTGAAGGTGAACCAGGCACTGCGGGATGCCACCTTCTGCTTCATTGTGTCGCTGGCGGTGGCTGATGTGGCAGTGGGTGCCCTGGTCATCCCACTTGCGATCCTCATCAACATTGGGCCACAGACCTACTTCCACACCTGCCTCATGGTCGCCTGCCCAGTCCTCATCCTCACCCAGAGCTCCATCCTGGCCCTGCTGGCTATTGCTGTGGACCGATACCTTCGTGTCAAGATTCCTCTCCGGTGAGTCCAACAGCAGCCAAAGCTACTCTCAGCACCCTACACTGGCTGGCTTGAAGGCCATTTAGAAAGGATATAAGTAGAGCGTAAGACCCCAGTTAAGCCAGGGATCATCTGGGCCATTATGTCCCAGTTCTCCCTCTACCTTCCTGTGGTCTGCTCTATAGTACAGAGAAGCAGGAGATGGTTGGATGGCTGGAGTGACATGAACCTGGTGGTGCCCTGGACCCTAGAGTTGAAGCTTCTATAGCCAGGGAATCCCAGGCTGTCTGTCAGGCCTAGGGCAGAGGTGGGGGTTTGTAGGGGCCACCAAGATGGGGGTCACAGTGAGTGCGGTGTGGGAATGAGCTGAGCTCCACCAGTCCCAGAGAACAGGAAAGGTCAGAGCAGAGAGCTGGGGCAGGAGTATAGACATACTGAGAGGGTGGCACACTGGGGCCAGGAGGGCTGCTTCGCCAACCAGCCCCACACAGCTTCCTGAAGGCTCTCTTTAGCTCTCTTCTTCTCTAGGTATCTCTGTGCCAGCAGCTGCACCTTCTGGGGTTGTCCTGCTGAACCAAATGGTCTGATTACTTCTGCCCAACTCCCACTTCTGGGATCTCTGTTGCAGACAGAAGGAGGGAGAAATGCTGCTGTCTGCTCTTAACATTCCTGTTCTGTTGCAAACCCATGTGTGTGTTTGCCATTCACAGTAGAGGTGCTTATGCTACTTCCAGGCAGCTCGGGGGTGGGTGTCCTGGTGGTGCGGTCCTCAGTGTGGGTGTCCAGTCCACATTGGGGCTCCCTGCCCAGACCTGCCAGGCCACAATCTCATCACCAGGCAGTGCCTGGGCTACCAAGTGCCATTGAGTGCCTGGGCACACTGCCAGAGACTGACCCTGCTGGGACACTTTTGTGAGGCGTGCTTGCCCCCTATTTGAATTCTTGTCACCAGTAGATTGCTTTTCTACTAGGGAGCTCTGGATGTCTCTGGCACCTGCCATCTTCAGTGGTAGCTTTCCTGTCTCAGATGTTGGGCCTCTGGCTTCACTGGGCCCCTTGCCCGGCAGGCCTAGGCACCCATGTGTCTCCCTTTGTGTTATATTTGTGCACGTTTAACTTTCTAAAGACTTCTTTTCATGCACTTTTTTTCCCTGTTGTTATTGTGACCCTGTAAGGGAGGTGAAGCAGGAGCCAGTAAGGGGAAACTAAGATTCAGAGGGTCTCTTGAAGCTGCTTGGGAAACCTTGATCCAAAGCCTTGATCCAACCATCTGCTTTCCTTTCTAATTTCCCTATTCCCAGCACCTTGATGCTTGTCACTCTGCCCTGTTTACTTCTCTCACAACCTCCAGGTTTCCCAGGGAAAGTAGGGTAAAGAAGGGAATGCAGCCAGAAAGCCATGAGCTCAGCCCCTGAGGGGCCTGCATGCTGCCTTTAGTCCGGGTTGTTGCTGGGCTGCACAGATAAGGCTCGTCTCAACCCATTAGAAGAACTGGGTCTTTGAGCCTGACCATTGTGACAAAGTTGGCTGTTGCCACATTCGGAAACTCACAGATGTGCAGGTGTAGGAAGGCTGCTCCAGAAATTCTGTCTGCTGAGTGGGTGCCAAGGCGAGCCAAGGCCCCATCGTGCTGTGACAGAGGTGGTGACCATAGAGGGTACCCTGCTTGCTCTGTGGGAGTGGGCTGGGGTTGGCTGCTCTGTCGTAACCAGTCTGCCTGTCAGTCTCTAGGAGGCAGCTAGTGTTACCTCGGAACTGGGGTCTTGAGGAGCTGTCCCCTGAGGACCCAGGTAGGGCCTATACAGAGGCTCCTGGGTTCAAATCCTTGCTTTGAATTTCTAGCTGTGTGATCTGGGGAAAGTTACTTATTTAACCTTGTTAAACTTTAATTTCCTCACTATAAAAGGGAACAATAAGTACTAGTATCTACTTCCAACTGGAAGAACACAATGAACTTATACACACAAAGTGCTTATTTGTGCCTAACATCATATATACAAGCTGTAAATAGCAGGTCTTTGTAGTTTTATTATTATTATTAATGTATTCCTTCAAGTGGCCAGGATAGGTAAGCCCTTCCCTGCCTCCCCACGCTTGTGCTCTTCCATGGCAATACACACACACAGACACACACACACACACACACACACACACACACTACATTTCCCAAGAAGTGTCAAAATACTGCTAAGTTATGTCTCCATGTATTTTTTTCTCCTCTGGTGGATTGTTGATGCCTCAGGGGCAGTGACCTGGGCAGTGACCACATCTTGTCTGTTTCTGCAAATTCTCCAGAATGCCCAGCTCATGTCTGGCACATTGCAGATACTCAGTAAATGCTGATTAAATTGGCCAACTTTTTAGAGCATGCACAGTTAAACCTCAAGCAGGCCTCCCAGAAGTTTAACCTCTAATCTTCTTGCTGTGGATTAGGTTTGCCCACTTCTACCTCATTGTGCCGACTGTAGCTGCACCCACCTTCAGAGCCACTAGCAGTAGTGCTGGGCAGTGTCCTGCCTCATGAAGAGGACCCTCTCTCCTGAGTTAGGGAAGGGCTGCTGGGGCCTAGCTCCTCAAGCACAGACCCTGGCTGTGGTATTGGGACCCCCGAGGCCTTGTCTGTCACTGCCCAGGCCCTCTGCAGGAAAACTGCATGCTCTGCTCCCCTCTGGGCAGCTGGAATCAGAAGGCGGCTGTCTGTCAGAGGTCTTAGCCAGAGGTCCCTGTATGGCTTGCTGCCCTGACACCAGTCAAAGGTAGACATGACCCTGGGTACCAGGGAGTGGTACTGAGAGAGCATGGGTGATGAGGTGTGTCTGGGGCATCTGGATCCAGAAGTCAGCTGACCCCTCACTGAGTGAGGCATAGTTTGGTCAGTCAACCACAAAATTTTGTCTTTCCTCTTAGCAAAAAGCCAAGAGAGAAAACAGATTCACATCATATAGTGTGATCCAGTTATAAATTCTTTTAAAAAGCTCAAATTATTGATTCATCAATAACCTGTGGTCATTTACATGTAGTTTGCATGTTATTTGCATAGTACCTCCACATACTTGATAATTGATACCCCATTCCCTTCAGCTCCTAGTTCTAGGGAATCTCCATCATTTGTCCTCCTACCCCTTCACTCAGGGCTTTCTTGATGGCACTCTCTGGCAATTTGGTGTCTACTGGAGGGGGCTAGTTGCAGAGAAGAGGGCTAACAAGGACTTCCTGACTGAAGCCCTTGTGGGGAAGAGACCCTAGCAAGGGGGCTGTCTGCGGCAGATGGGTCAAAGTGGAGTGAAGAGGCAGTGGGAATTTGTCAGCCAGACAGACCTGAGTTGGAACCTTGCTGTGTTACTAACTAGCTCTGCAACCTTAGACAAGTTTTTCATCCTCTCTGAGCCTTTGCTTCCTGCTATCTGTTAAACAAAGGGGTTGGATTTGGGGTCTCTGAGGTTCCTTTTGGCTCCACCTCCCTGTCTTTCTTCCCTATCCTGACTCCTGCCAGCGCAGTGTTGGATCCTGGGTGGGTTTTGTTGCATTGAATTTTTTTTAGCTCTTGGTGAGTGTCTGTATTACTCAGTGCTATGTTTTATGCCCCCTCCCCACCCCTATTTCATGTTCATAGACTCTCACTAGTAGAGATGATTGTTTTTCCCATTCTATAGACAATTCTTTAGATAAACTTTAATCTGAGGCTTAGGGAGGTTTCAGTAACTTGCCTAAGCAGCTTGTCAGGAGCAGAGGCAGGATTTGAATATAGGCCTAATAAATGCCTTTAACCAGTAAACTCATGTGCGTCTTGCGTCAGCCAAAGATGCTGTATGATTTCTGGAGGAGTTTCCTCAAAGCTGTCGGTGGGGTGATTTTTCTCCTCTGGTCTTTGCCAATGGCCTGTGCTCAGCCCACATACAACATCTTGTCCTCCCTCCTCACCTTCACTCCAATGGGCAGTTGAGCTCCTGGCAGTCCTGCCTCTGTCCACAGCTGGAAGGCTGCCCAACTGGGCTGCTGACCAGGGGAAGCAAGCAGGGATCAGGGGAGGCCTGGCATGCTCGGCCATAGCTTGGGCAGGAAAAGAAATCTGGTAGACTAGAGCATGTTAGTTTGGGGGTCTCAATTTAGCTCACCCACTCTGGCTGGCCTGGCCTTCTCATGACAACTAAATTGCCTCATGTGCCCTGACACAAGTCAAAGGTAGATGTGACCCTGGGTACCAGGGAGTCATACTGAGTGAGCATTGGTGGTGAGGGATGACTGGGACATCTGGATACAGGAGTCGGCTGACTATGGGTCACACCCTAGCAGGTGACCATCTGTGGCCTCTGAGTTCCAAAACAGTTGCTCTCAGGTTGTGCCATCTGCTTACAAGACAGGTAGGTCATCTCCAGACCCTCTGTCTAAGGATGGATGAGTCCTAGGACCAGCAGGGATGTCTAGCCTTTTTTCTTTTTTTCCCTTAGGTTGGAAGAATAAGAGTAAACACACAAACAGTAAATACACACATGTAAGCTAATGAGGGAAAAAAGGTCTGTGCATAGTTTTTGCATTATCTGACACCGTAGATAAGCAAAATAGTCCTCAAATAATCTGTGTGCAGCCCGCAGGCCATAGGTTGGGCACCCTGGTAGGGTGTCTGAGAAGGAAGAGGAGTTGGAGGAAGCCCGAAGCCCAACCTCTTACACTTGTACACTGAGGAGGAAACTGAGGCCTGGGGAGCTTAAGCAAGCTGGGGTTCTTTCCTCCTCCCCGTCTTGCTTGTCTGCCTCTGATGTAAAGGGCTAGAGAAGAAGAACTCTTAGCAATCATCTGCTCCTCAAGAAACTGAAAGGAAAAACGCAAATCAGTGGCAGCCTCAGAGGGGGAGTGTGATGCAGTGAAATCACTTTGTGGTTGAAAAAATAATTTCTCTGAATGGAGGATAGCCTTCAGGTAGGTCATGATAAGAGAAGGGTGCTGTGCCAGGGGGACAGGGACTTTAGTTGAAGAAGCACCAGGATTCAGTTTCAAGTGCTAAGGCTTCCCCCAGCTGGTAT